GTTGGTCTGAACTCTGATCGTAGCTCCCTTGACCATCCTTCCCCGCCCCCATTTTGGCAGCCATGCTTCATCATCATTATCATCAACATCCACAGCGGATCCCGGAGAAGCCTTCAGAAGTGAGTAACTCCCTCAGTCTGGTCCCTCTCAAGCTATCCCCGCTTTCATCCCTTTATTTCCAAGTGTGCAGAGTGTGTGTGCGTGTGTGTGCGTGTGTGCGTGTGTGGTTTCCCTTGTTAATAATAAATACTTAGACTTTAATTGGAGAAGCTTGCCTCCATTGTGGGATTAGTCCTTAGTCCTCTGGTATACATGACAGTACACGGTCCTGTGGGGTGTTGTTAGGGCCCCACTCTTGCATATTTGAGCTAATTATAAATTCCCCTAATTAGATATTTCTAACAAAAGAAGCACTTGTGATACAGATAAACTGATGCTTAGACTGTACTTTAGTGAAAGTCCAGCATTTATTTATTGTATTTAATAAATAAAAGGGGTAGGCAACCTTTCCCCTTTAAGGGCCGAGGGACTTCAGCTCCCAGAATCCCAGGAACTATTGGCCAACATGGGTGAGGCTTCTGGGAGCTGAAGTCCCTCGGCCCTTAAAGGGGAAATGTTGCCTACCCCTGCCCTACACTGTCAGTCATGATAGGCCTCAAGAGGACATAAAACATAAAAACAAAACAAAGCAGTACACAAAACAAAAATGCCCAAGAGTGACAGGAAAAAGTAAATTTAATTATAATAAAGGTTTGACATGTACAAGAACAGTAAGTGGAAAGTTCTGAAAACTTTCCTGAAAAGCCAAATTTTAACTGTCTGTTAAATGTTAGGTTCCTGTGGTCCTTCTTATTTATGTCTCAAAATGTGAAGTATTGTTGTATGGGCACAGTTATAGATCATATTTACTCCAAGTCTGTTAAATCTACAGTCAGCCCTCCGTTTTTGTGGGGGATCCATTCCAGACCCCCCCTCCGAAAATGGAGATTCACAAATATTCAAGCCCCATAAGTTTGAATGGGGCATGCCCCAGTAGGTGCGCATGGGATGCGCCCCATTGATTTTAATGGAGGTCGCCCCTCTGTGAATTATGCAAAACTGCAAACTTCAAGTCTGCAAAAACAGAGGGGCAACTATATAACATCTTTTCATGTTCTCTAAGGCCTCGGCAGACGACTAATTGAGTCGTCTTTGAGGCAAGGAAGA